GGTGCTGATGACTGGCTTAATTATTCATTCCATTCACCTGTCTAAATCGGCCTAGTTTCTAATCACTGCCCATCTGATCCCCCCGCTTCTGCCTCTATATAAGGTGCTTGCATCCAGTTATCGGGGCCAGATTATTCTCTTTGACTTAGACAAACTTTATTGTCATTTTATACACACAGGGTGTATACGGTACAAAACAAAATTTATTTCAGTACAACTCTAAAGACAGCTCAAGACACCACTGGCACAAGGAAGTACCAGTGGTGAGAGGGTGAGAGGTGATTACCTGATCCTGACCTGTTCTGGCGTCTCAACCACTAAGCATAACAGTTTCCATCCAAACAGTTTGTCTGAACTGCCTTTGGACTCCTGGACCTCTGAACCCGCCTCTCTCTGTTCTGATCTGTTTGCCTGACCTGACTTCGGATTCCTGGACCTCTGAGCTTTCCTGTTCTGCTCTGTTTGCTTGACCTGGCTTTCGACTCCTGCTTGTTCTCAATCCTCCGGGGTTGCAGCGTCTCGGACACTCTGGGTTGCGCTCGCCGCATCTTGTTGACATCCTACCTCGTTTTCAAGACACAGGCTGAACTGTTAAACCAGGTTAGTGACTCACGGGTTCATCTTATCCTCCATTAGATTTACGTGGTCACAAACCTCAATTTCCTTTTACAGAGTTTCCTGTGATAGATGCCCTAGCCGCTGCTACTCAGATCCTGCATGTTTTAAATAAACATTTTGAATGATCTCACTGTCTGTCTTGCCTCGAATAATGGGTCCTCTCTTGTGAATCTTGACAGAATAATCTGGCCATAACATGGACCCATCAGGAGTAAGACACTGGCATTCTGAGGTCGAACTTTGTATTTCTCACCTCGAGTCAGGCATACAAACGATTTTAGATTTTCTGCGTTTTCAGCCTACTTCTGTCTCTCCCTGAATTTTTTTAAGGTTATCCAGACCTGTGTCTGGTTTTTTCGGATATTTGGATTATTTTGTTTTTTTTAAGGCTTTTAGAGCTCAGGAGGCCGAGGGAATCGGCCCTTAGGGAAGAGGTTCTGTCATGATGTTGATGCTGATGACTGGCTTAATTATTCATTCCATTCACCTGTCTAACTCTGCTTGGTTTCTAATTATTGCTCATCTGATCCACCTGCTCCTGCCTCTATTTAAGGCGCTTGCATCCAGTTATCAGAGCAAGATAATTCTCGTTCTTTCATACCAGTGAGGAGAGAGATTTTAGCGTACATTAGTGTTTTTGATTTCCTGATCCTGTCTCATCGTAGTGGTGAAAGGGTTTTTAGCATACTTTATATCGTTTTATCTCTTTTACCTTCAAAAGTCTTAATTTCCCCAAGTTTAGCATTCTTTTATCGCACATTTAATCATTCCCATCCATCATTCTCCCCCTTTATTATATTTCTGTCACTTTCCCTACCATAGTTTCTAGATCTTTTTAATAATGCCCATGCCCAGACATGGTCCACATTGATGAAATATTATGTAACATTACGATGTGACTAATACAGCTAAAGTCTGGCATTTCTATAAACACCAGGAGTTCAGCTGTGCACATAGTCAGATTATGTGATGTTCAGCTCTTCTACAGCATGTAGATGAATCTACTTTTGTATCTGCTAACAGGTGTGAAACATGTTACCTGATGGGCAATATCACCCACACTAATCCGTGCTTGCTATTGTGGTGTCATCACCTGAAGCGAACACACACTGGCACACAACCAGTGCGTGTGTATATACATGTGTAATGAGGATTGGCAGTGCTAAATAAAGGTTCTTACTGTAATCCACAGCCCACAGAAGGGTTCTAAGAATGAACTGTGAGGCCTCATGCTGGGAAAATGTGTGTCTGTGTCTGAGACTGACTGTGATAATTGTGCTGTATGTTGTACAACAAATATCTCCCGTTGTAACCAGAACATTTCAGAAAATAAATAACAGCTCATGTTGATGCTGTTAGAGACTCTCAAACTACCTGATTAATGTTTTTACAGAGCAAAACAGAGAAGAAGTCAAACTGCAATTGGTTTTGATGATTTCACCTCATATGGCTTCATCCAAAACTTCTAAACGCTGGAAACTTCCCCTATTTTTTGTAAGGTTTAAAGAATACAAATACAATTTATAGTGCAGCTGCTATCAAATGGCAGTTGTAGACTTTAAGTGTTTATGTTTCACATGTATAATAAATGAACGTTTGAATATGGATCATATAAAAGGAATTTTTGTTGAGTCATGGGGATGGTAAATTCCCCTACACCCCGTCTAGAGTTACACAGCTCTGGGGCATCTCAGTTCAGGATTAGGTTAGGTTCTTTTAAAAAGCTATTAGCATTCAATATCTTACCCATAGTTAATAACTCATACCAATTTATAAAAAATTTAGTTAGTTGGAACCAGAAACTGAAGGTAATGGTTTCCATCCCCCATGTAGTACCCTTATGTAACAAGCTCTGTTGTTTGAAATTTCTTCCAGTTTGACTTTTAAACATCCCAATTTAATTTATTTTTTTTCATCAAGCCACATGATTAAAACACAATAAACAAAAAAAAAAAAGATCTGACTTTTTTTTCACAAAACCTAGACTTTGCAGGTACCAACAAAATTCCACTGTACAGTTCCAAAACACCATATTCACTCCAAACCATGCTGCTATTATCTCTTTATGATATTATCACAGCAATTGCTTTCTGTATTAAAAATGAGAAAAGCCAATGTTATCTCAATTAATGATTTTTCTGTATGCACTGGATCAATGCACTATACCATCTTTGAGAGAGTTTTGCTTCTGTTATCATTTCACAGTTGCACATCATGAAACTCTTTATTAGTTGCCATGGCATCACAGAACAATGCTACAGCATCACCACTCCAAGGGTCAATAAGCATACATAAGAAAGCAATAACACCAAATCAGCTACATTTATGCTAAAATTTATTGGAATATTGCGTATAATAGTCTGCTCTAGCAATTTGAATCTCTGTGATCTATTTCAAAGAATTTTCCTGCTTTATTTCAATTTTCTTTTTTACATGGTGCCATTTTTCTGTGTTGAAATGAGTGTTCACCCAGTCCAAAACTGCATAAAATGTACAGCAGTCTAAATTCAAGTGTCCTGCTAAGTTGCACTAAAATAGATTTGGAATAAACCCAGTGTTTAAATTCAATAAAGAATGTTTATGAAGATTAGATTAAAGAAAACTTTATATACAAAAGAAAGAAATACAAAACAGATGTGTAATTAAGACAGGCCATTATAGCATAAAAATGTCTGCACTGATAAGCAGAAACAGACTTTAAAAAATAACACAGTAACAGAACAATGGAAGAGGAAACAATGGTCTTCGGTGCCTTTTAGCTTTAGCTTCATCACCTTTGGTTCCATAAATAATGCAAAGCAGTCATTGGCTTCATTATTGAATTATTCAGAGAGAGAGCGGATCACAGCATAAGGCCCCAGAATGAGACGAAAGATCAGGAGCTGTCCAGTATTGACAAGGTACAGACAGAAACATAGAGAGACATAAAGATAAGCAGCAGATCATCATCATCAGTACCCTACCACTACTTTGGCTTGACTGATGGTAACAAATGATGAATTGTTTTAAAGGCGGTCTCTGATGTCAACTCTAGATGTCTCAATAAAACTGTGATTTTTTTAATCTATGTGTGTGCATTGATCAAACTAACTGAGAAAGTAACGTCATAATTATTTTAAACAGTATCTTGCCAGTTTACTGGTATCAAGATGCACCACGTTATTCAAAACTACGCGAATATGAGTTTTCCCAGGTTTGTATAGCTTTAAATCTTAGAGCGTTATCCTTCTCTGTGAATTACTGCATACTGACAGTCAGCTGACTGAATAAACTTCCCATGCAAATACGCATTTGGCTGTTTGCATATAGGTACAGACAACTAATATGTTGAAACAAATGGACCACAAAGGTCACAGTTTTTTGAACCACAGTTAGTATGCTATGATGAATATACCTGTTCAGTAGCTGCAGGCTGTCTCCGAGCAGATAGCATTACCGATAAACTACCTTATGTCATCATGTTGTACATGTGTTGCAAAATCTGTTTGAAACTTTTAAACATTTTTTTTATATCTATATAAAAAGAAAAACATGCAACATTTAAACGTAATTACAAAAAATTCCAGCTTTTTATTTTCAAGTCCTAGGACAAAAGATGAAAAAATGCCAATTGGTTAATTCTGGTGCACTTACAGCCAAACTTATTACTATACAGGGTTGCTGTCAAATAAATCAATAAACTACACTAAACAGTTAACTGCACTGAGAACCCGTGCAACATCCTAGTTCTGTTTTCAGATGTTAAAGTAGCACAGAATACGAGTCCACAAATACTTGTTCCCGGTTCAAATCATATTTATTAGGTAATACTGAGAGTATTTCACTGTTAATAAGTTTCTTATAAATGTACTTAAATTATTAAACGTTTTGGCTTGAGGTGTATTTTAGTCCCTTTTCACAACTGATTTGTTTGAATTCAGAACCACCGCTTATGGAAACACCTGGATAACATTATAAAAATGGTAATAATCAATATTCTTATATTGTTTTATCAGCATTATAAAGAATTGTTGTTGTTTTAAAGCAATTCAATTATGCAAATATCATTTTTGTTTTAAGCATTTATAATTGTACCACATAAGAGTGAATTTCATTGGAAGTTCATCTTAAAATATAAGTCCCCCACCACCACAGTGGACTTGGATGTCCATAATTTTCACTTGAGGCTGGCACAAAGTGTCACCAAAGGGTTGATCACCATGGATGCACCATTTCTTTAAATGGTACCACACCCAATTAAGATGAAAGACTCATCAAATAAATGTTCATAATGGTGGTGGTAGCATGTGGTATGTGACTGTATGAGCTACATAATGCATGTCAGCTGAAATTACTTTTAAGGTTGAAGACAAGGAATGGGGGGAATAGAGGACTGCACTTACATTCCAGGTGCTTTTTCTTGGGCGCCATCACTTCGTGAGTGGTGGCTTTGCAGACAGCTCGGGCCATATCTGATCCCGTTAGCTGGTACTGCGCAGCGGCAATGCGATCCGTGAGCGTCTGTCCCGACATTTTCCCTCTCCGCTCGATCAACCACCACAGAAACTAATTTCTCCCCAGGGGGACGACGTGAAGCTAAAATATGAACAATATAACCCAGCGATTTTTGTTTTAATCCTTTCTGTTCACCGAGGTGGAATCCAGCGCCTTCCAGGCCTTTGACCTTCTGTGTGGGAGGGAAAAAATGCAAATAAAACGATCTCAAACGGCAGATTTGATGTATCTTTGCGAATAAAATGACTAAGGCGAGTCGATCAAATGAGCGCTATGACATTAGACTCACGTAAGGCTGTGTATCCCCCACGACTCGTCTCCCTTTTGAGGTTCAAACGCTCAGTTCAGCACCTTGGACAGCTAAAGCCACTCGGTTATGTAACATTCAGCGGACTCTGGCAGCTCGTCTCTCAGCCTGCAGCAGTTATTAAAAAAACAGGGCTGCAGAAGAATCAGCGAGGCCTATTGGATCGCGCAAAAACAAATATGAGTTTGTAAAGCTGCAAATCGCCAAATCAGCACTCCATAGGACGCATTTCCTCCCGCATCGGTGCATCAGGATACAACGGGTCTCATATCAAGAAAAAAAAGCCGTAGTGTCTGTTGATCTGCACAGAACCCTCCACCTCCGGTGCTCCACACGTATAGAAAATATGCGCACAGCTCTCGATGCGCAAGATGCTCTGAACAGGAAAAGGGCGAAAAGGAATTCCCTTTCCTCCTCCCCTTTCTCGTCTGTTTAATCGGCCAATCTAGCCTCACTCAGCGGGTCCTTCAGTTGGTTTTGCTGTCCACGTCGTATCCCACGTATCTTAAAGGGGTTGGCACATATTTTGGAGTATCTTTTCTTATACTGAAACCTATATTTTGAATCGAATATGGTCTCAGCTCTATGAAGTGGTCCGATTTATAAGGTCATCTACATCTACATTTGATTTTTGAATTATTTCTTTTTTTTACCTGCTCTTAAGCAAGATTGACTTCTAGAGGCTAAATGTAATGTGGGCACAGGTATATCATATACAGAATATATACATTATTATAAATATATATGCCATAAGTTGTATGTATAATGTATGCGCTATGTATGATGTCATATATAATGAAATATGCTGTATGTATACTGTAATGCATACTAGACTAAATTTAAAGAGTATATAATACAGAAATAATCTCTCAGAACATGGGATAAAACTTCATTAACATAAACTATTAAAAAGTCCAACCAATTATTTAATGGTTTATTAAATATAAATTCTAATAAAATTTTTGTAAGTTTACTTTTTTTTCTGTAATGGCCTGATTTTTTGGATTGTTAAAGATAGGCTCTGTACATGCAACCTGATGCTCTATCTCCCTGAAAAGAGATCACTCGGGACAACGCTTAAAAAATGTTTTCTATAACTTATATGTATTAAATAACCAGGAGACATGACAGCAGATACTGATAGAAATTGTGATCTTACTCAGATCAGGGAATTGCTCAGGGTTACAGAATGGCAGCTGCTCACCTCTGGGCTCACCTCTCAGGAAGTGGCACCGATTAATGGTTAATAAGGCATTTTATACATTTCCAGTCTGCAGCATCATCATATTTTACATCACACACATTAGCAGATGATTAGACATCCATGGCTCCAGCCTTATCAAAATAGGACAGCGCTCTCATTCCATTTCCAAATCTTTGACAAGTATAAAATGAAGATTATAACTGTATACCCAGACAGAGGAAATGTCCTAATTAGATCAAAACGTCAGTTCTGACGCACAACAGGCAGCCCATACCAGGGAGTAATAAACTTACACATTTTCAATTATAATTATCCTAACAGGATGCATGCAATGATCTTTTTTCTTGTTTTTTTTATTATTATTTTTTTATTTAGAACGTGTTTTTTTTTTTATAATCCTATAACAAAAAAATTTACTTCCGCATGTCCTCCATCCCTCCCTGGCTGTCTGCCTGCATTCACTCTCCTATTGAGTCAGACTTGCCCTGAGCAACATGGCGGCCGTCTAAGCGGATGTATAGAAGGCGGGATTTCCGCTAATGAGCTGCGGCCACGTTGTCACGCTGAGAAGGAGGAACCGAACCAAGGCAACCAGGAAGTCTTTCATTGACTGTGAGCACTGTTGTAATGCTGCTCTGAAAACCACAAATAGTAAGTGAATTTATAGAAATTTATTGCATAAATCGTATTTAACATCGTTAAACTGTTGTTTTAAAATCATATTTTAAAGCCATTGGTAAGCGGATTGGTTGATTTTCGTTTCTTAGTTTGTTAGCAGGAAACTTCTACTATAGCTGGGTTAATACTTTGCAGTGTCATATAGCTTGTGGGGTGAAGTCAATAAGTTGTCAGTTGTCTTCACTGATAGTATTTAACTTGTAAAACATAATATTTATCTTTACCATAATTCATTGAAATAGAGAATTAACTTTGATTGATTTAGCATCTCTAACCCCAGAAGTATCCTAGTATAAATGCAGAAAATTGAACCCCACCCGAAATGCTAGTTAGTTTGGGATTTAGATTGTGAATAAATATTCAAATCAGAATTGGCTGTTATCTTTCAATCCTTTAAGAGGTTGATCAATTAGGTTTTTAGTTTCTTAAAAACTTCTAAAACAAGTAATGTCAACTCTAAGTCACTGAACCCTTTCAATTCTAATGATCATAATCTATTTTGAAGCTTTACAGAGATGGCCCATTTTAAAGAAGTATCTGAGCAGTCAGGTCTGCACCCTAAGCCAGTGGGATTAGTGTTGCAGTATGGCACGGCTGGCTTCAGGACCAATGCCAGTCAGTTGGACCACATTATGTTCAGGATGGGCTTGCTGGCCACACTCCGCTCCAAGAAGACTAAAGCCACCATTGGAGTCATGGTGACAGCATCTCACAACCCTGAGGTCAGCAACTGATGCAAACAAATTAGATCAGTGTTCATAAGGTTCTGGTTTAACCTTCCTTTACCTCTATCTTTTGTTTGTAGGAGGACAACGGGGTGAAGCTTATTGACCCGATGGGGGAGATGTTGACATCATCATGGGAAGGCTATGCCACTCAGCTGGCCAACACTGAGCAGGAAGAGTTGATCCCAGCTCTGAAGGATATTATCGAGAAGGAGGCCATCAATATGAGCCAGGAGGCCAATGTATTTGTTGGAAAAGATACCAGGTATGTTGAAAAAGACTGAAGACAAAAAACAAAAAAATTAATCCAGAACATCACGTCCTTTTAAATGTTTTATGTGATTTTAGGAGCAGCAGTGCTAGCCTTTCAAAAGCAGTATTGGATGGAGTTAAAGCTCTTGGTGGTAACAGCAAAGGTAAAAGCATATAACTGGACTCCGTTATCTGTTTTTATTCTTTTCACACATTCTTGCTGTTTATTTTCCATCTGATCCTGCCTGTTTTTCCTGTTAGACTATGGGTTGGTGACCACCCCTCAGCTGCACTACATGGTTTGCTGTCAAAACACACAGGGGAAATATGGAGAGGCAACTGTGGAAGGATACTACAATAAACTCAGCCAAGCGTTCTCCCAGCTTGCTAAGAATGTGAGAAAGTGGGGTGTAATTTGGGCGGGTTTTCTACCTCCACCAAAGCTTTTTAATCATTTTTTTTTATCTTTCTGGCAGGCTTCAAATCGTACAGATGACCAAAAGCACCTTAGTGTGGATGGTGCTAATGGCATTGGAGCCATAAAGGTACGAGAAATTGAGAGTCACTTAAAAAGAAACCTGCAGCTTTCCATTTTTAATGACGGCAGCAGAGGAAAGCTGAACCACCAATGCGGAGCCGACTTTGTCAAGGTGCAGCAGAAGCTTCCAACAGGTACAGCCTCAAGACGCTACAGATAAGGCAACAGCTAATCTTTATGTTTACATTACTTCCCCATGAACATTTGAACATTTTATCAGATAAAGGCAATAAACGTAACTTTTCTAGAGGATAGACCGCACTTTTGAGATAAAGCTCTGAAAGGGTTGCATGAGTTTATATCTATCTCTTTTCATTTGAAATCGCTTTGTGAAATTCTTTGCAACCAATTCAGATAAAGATAAATCCCCCAGGGCTAATTAAGGTGCGACTAGCAAACAGAAATATAATTGACCGCAACACACAAATAATAGGAAACTGATCACGTCACACATAAAGAGTGAAAGGGTATTGTGGTTGGAAATCTAAACATGTAAAGATATACTAAAGTTGCAGCTATAATTGCTATGATTGGCTCCATAAAATGTTGACTCAAAACATTGCAGCTAAGACTTTTCTAGTTATTTAAAAACATGAACCTACCTTGGGTTAGTTTGTCACACACTTACAAAAAAAAAGAGACCTTGAAGTTTATGGTTACTTAGATTGATAGGTATAGTTTTAAAGTGTTCACTTACTTTTTTATACAACTAGGGCTGCAACTAAAGATTTTTTTTTTTTCAAATTGATTAATCTGTCGATTATTTTTTCAATTGATTAATAATTGGATAGCAAAAGGTTCCTTAAAGAAGATTGTTTATGAAATTAAGCCAGGTGAAACTAAAACTTTTCCACTGAGGGGTTCTGAATATAGTATATTGACTGACGAAACCATTTAAAAAAAAATCTGAAATGCAAAAACATTAATATATTTTTTTTACTATTTTGATATTATTTTTGCTTTAAGTGGGTTGCTCTGTCAGCTAAAGGCATGTTCTACAGTCTCCATACTATAGTTAATGATCAATCGATTACTAAATTAGCTGACGATTATTTCAATAATCAATTAATCATGATTAATCAGACTAGTTTTTTGCAACACAAAAAAGGATCATATCTAACATGGCTGTGTCTCTGTGTTTAGGCATTGAGATCAACCCTGGAGATCGCTGTTGTTCTTTCGACGGTGATGCTGACCGAATAGTTTATTACTACACAGACTCTCAGGGTGACTTCCACCTGCTTGATGGAGACAAGATAGCAACTCTCATTAGTACCTTTCTGAAAGAGTTACTTAATGAGGTCTGTTCTCTTAAAGATTTATGTTCTATTATATAATATTTTATATTGTATTATATTTTATATAATATATAATACTCTTTTTCCTTCTTAAATACCTCTTTGTACACGCAGGCTTGTCTTGATTTGAAAATAGCTGTGGTGCAAACTGCTTACGCGAATGGCAGCTCAACATACTACCTGGAAAACACCATGAATGTGAGAGACTATATTAAATAGAAAAAAAACATTTATTAAGAAAATTTAGTCATATTAAATGTTTTTCTTTGATTTAGGTCATTGTGAAATGTACTAAGACTGGAGTAAAACATCTACATCATGCAGCCCAAGAATTTGATGTTGGTGTCTATTTTGAGGCCAACGGCCATGGGACTGTAAGTGTTTATTAACCATTCAAAAGTCAGATCATCTGATTTTAATCATCTTATGTTACTTTAAATAAATGATTACTCTATAAACATGTATTTGTCAGTGAAGAAAGGTAGAACCTGTATAGGTATGACGTCACATTTATTTCAAAACGCCTGCAAGAAGAATAAACATACTCACATATATGTTAAACTCCTTCTGAGCATGGTTTATCTACCAACGCGCAAAAAATCACAAATGCACAAGAAACTTCCGCTTCAAGAGGAGAAAAACACTTTCCGTGCACGCCAGCTCCTTGCAGACAGGATTACATGGGAAGTAGTGTCAGGAAGCCTTTGACTGACACCACTTACCCCACGTACTGCAACCGTGGAGAAGTCTCCTGCTACTGTCCCGCCTCTGGCCATTGTGTGAGATCCATAAAGTCAATCAATCAATGACCAGCTGTTAGTAAAAGGCTTCCTGACACTACTTCATCTGTGATCGTGTCTGCAAGGCCCAATCAGGAGGAGGCTTTCAAATGAGGTTTTTCTCTACCCAACCTATCAAAACACATTTTCTTTGGCGCGCGGAGAAAATGAGTCTGAGTATAGAGACACTTTCGAGAGCGCAGTCGTCCTCAAGCGTGGTTGCTGGATAGAAAATGGTTTGCACGGTGAGATCCCAAGCACAATCCCTAGCGTGCGTGGAAGGAGCTGGCGCAAGCAGAGAGCGGTTTTCTCCTCTCGCAGCGGCAGTTTCCTTATGATGGTAGATAAAACATGCGCAGAAGTAGTTTAACATACATGCAAATATGTTTATATTGCTTGTGGATGTTTTTAAATAAATGTAATGCCAGATATAGGAAATGTATCTTTTTAATATAGACTATTAATTATAATAAAGTTTTGAGATATAAAACAGTTTAATGGGCAAATGATGCGCTTTTGTTTCCAAATGACTGTAAAAATGTTTTACGTTGTGATCAGGTGTTGTTCAGTAGGGAAGCTGAAGAGAAAATCCAGCAACTAGCCAGTGACACCAACATCATTGATGAGCGGAAGAAAGCAGCTCTGCTGCTGCAGAATACCATCAACATCATCAACCAGGTACACAAAAACCACCATCACTAACTGATAAAAAGACGCATAAAGACTCTTTTTTTATGAAAAGGCTGATGGGTGTCATTACTAATGTGATTGTTTTCTTTAGACTGTTGGAGATGCCATTTCTGACATGCTGTTGATTGAGGCCATATTAGCCATTAAAGGGATGACAGTCCAGCAGTGGGACACCATCTACAGTGACCTGCCAAACAGGCAGTTAAAAGTGAAGGTAAACAAACACAGCAGCCAGAAACTGCAATATGGGACTTTGCAAAGATACTTCTGCCCCTCAAACTTGTTAGACATTTTGTCTAACAAGATCTGTAGCTAGTCAAACTTTGATCTAAGTTCCAGCAGACCTGCAGAAATAAATGACGAATATATAACCTGTCTAACAACATGGAGTAGGCTGAACATTTAAAAAGGGATAGAAACTAAAGGGTTACAGAGCTATTCCTAAGGCTTAGGGACTCTAAAACACAGTAAAATTTATTATTAATTAATGCCAGAAACATGGAAGAGAGGAGCGCTTTTCCCAGACTGGCTGGCCAATCATACTCACCATTAAAGGGCTTTGACAAACTCATCCAGAAGGTGATAATGGGGACCTGGATGACTTTACATGTTTTGAGCAATACATTTTGATCTCTTGAAAAATGTCTAAAGGAGAGTTTTTGGTAATGAGTTTTTGACCTTAAAGGTATAGTGGAGGATGTTCTTTTTCTGGGTGGATCATTAAAATAAGCGGTCCTCCTAATTGTCAATCATTCTGGCATTATGTTTCTGTAAGGCCATCCTACATACTCATCCCCATTTTCACTTACCGGTGGTGAGTCCGACATAGTGGAAAATTTGCAAATCTTCTTTTGGAAAGTTAGCTTGTATGAGTGATACATATAGCGACTTTTAAACAGAGCGTGCACGTGGAGAAACGGGCTCCTGCATGCTCTCGCACGCGTTTAATAGGTGTTCCCTTTCAGGAGCAGGTACAGGGCTGTGCATAAGTGCATTTTATTTAAAAGGTGGAGAGGCAAGATCTTTTCAAAAATTTCACAAAGATCCTCCACTATACCTTTAACCTGTTGCACACGTTTGTCATGCTGTGGGATATTAAGACAAAGCCCACCAGGAAAACAAAATCACCTGTGATGCTTAGACTTACCAGATATTTATAACCTCTTCAAAGTAACTAAAATAAGAAATAAAATAAAAAAGGAAGAATGGGGCAACATTACTCCAAAGTTAAAGTTTAATAGTAATTGTTGCTTCCATCACTTTTAGGTAATTGTTATTTTTTTAATAGGAGCAGCTTTGTTTGGGTTGCTTATTCATTTGCTAATTAAAAGTGCATTTTATAATGGACTCGAAATTCCCCTCAATGCACCTTGACAGATAACAAAGATGGCGCATGCACCGTGCGCAGAAGCAGAGTCACATGATCAATGGGGAGAGGCGTCACGTAACAAAGAACAAATAATTCATTACCTTAAGTAGAAATTATAGCTATCTATACTTTACTAGAGTAATTATCTTTTAGAAAAATGTTTAGTTCTACTCCTTACATTTTAAAGATAACACTCATTAGTTTTGCTTCATTGAAACTCATTTTAGTTATGGACTGTTTGTATTTAAAACAATAAAAACAACCAAAATGATTTTTTTCATTCTGACAATTATTTTTCTTTGTAGTTGGACTCCGTACTGCACCAACTTATTGTTTGCTACGTACCAAAATAAGTGATTTTTCAAGATGATACAAAGTTAAATTTGACAATGTTACCATTAGTTATAAAAATAAGGAAATTAACTATAAGGACGTCATCCAGTAGAAAATGTTCCTTAAATAGGATAGTGCAACATTTAAAAAAAAAAAATTCCTGTGTTACTTTACAGGTATACTTAAAGTAATTTTA